AATGAATTAGTTTATTTCATTTACTCCAACAGTTGTTTTCTTTTCTTTCTTTGTTTTTTTTTTTTTGGCTTTTTTGAAACAAGGTTTCACTGTGCAGTTCAGGCTGGCCTTGAACTCACACTGATCCTCCTGAGGGCTGGGATTACAGGTGTGTGCTATCAGGCCTGGCTTTTTTCTTCTCTTTCCTTAGTTTTTGGTATCTTTTTTTTTTTTTTTTAATGCAACAATAGTACAGCTAGACAAAAATTAAAAGCAAAATGTACAAAACAACATTAAATAGGAACTGTAGTCAAAGAAAGGAGATTGGCTTCTTTAAAACACTTTTTAAAGGAACACTTTTCCTTCACAGGAATATTGAAGCATTTTAAAGTAATCTTGACGGGTAGCTGTACTATTCACGTCAGCATTGATTCATGCGGAGTGAACATCAAGGTCACTTGTCTGGAACATCTTATTTTAGTATTCTTGAAAGAGTGGTGAGATAGGCCCCTTTTACACACATAGCTAGAGCTTCAGATTAATGCCCTAGAAGAACACTTTAGACTTCAGGAAAAAAATTACTTGGAGGGACCCCCAGTGACCCAGCAAGGCACACATGGTGGTGGCAGTAGAGGTGGGACACACAAGGTTGAACCTCCCCAGGTGGGGACTCCATAAGACCTGGGAGAGGACACACATACCAGCAGTTGGTAATTCAGATGACATTATACTTTGGCACATGGATAGTTAAAATAGAAGGGAGCAGGTGGGGCCGCCATTCCCTCCTTTCTCTTTCTCTCCCTTCTCTCTCTCTCCTTCTCTCTCTCTCTCTCTCTCTCTCTCTCTCTCTCTCTCTCTCTCTCTCTCTCTCTCTCTCTGTCTCTCTCTCAACCCAACAACAGAATAAATACCAACCCTAGCTCCCACATCCAGAGGCCAAGATCAGCCCTATACCCAGCAAATCCCACTGCAAAATTGGCTGGCGCACATAACACATTTCTGAGATCAGACTTGGACCTACCACAGAAGTGCAAACAGCAGAGGAATTTTACTTCTATGTTTACTTTTCTAGGTTTGTTTGATTGGATTTCCTTTTTCTGTCCAGTTGAGATCTGTTTTATTTCATTTAGTTCGTTTTGTTTTATGTTTTAGGGTTATTTCTGTTTTCTGTTTTTAGTCTCTTTTTTCTTTTCTCTTTCTTTAATGATTTAGATTTATTATTCCCTTTATGTTTTCATCTACTTGGCTTATAGCTCTCATTTGCCAACTATCTTGCTAGATTTTATGATACTTCCATGTAAATAAACATTGTCTCTGTCTTTTTCACTTCAATACTCCTCTACTTCTTCCATTCTTTCCCTCTTTTGTTCTCCAGTTTCCTAAAACTTGGATGGTCATCCTACACCCTTCAGCCTTCCTCCTACTATACAGGACCTCACTCATCTCTCTATCTTACCCCCTATCCCTCTTACTCCTCTGACAAAACAGGGTAAAATCACTCCAGTAAAGAGAAAATCATTGCATACAGGCTCCTGGAATATGCTGGACTCTGTTATACAAGTGTACAATTTACTTATATTTTAAAAGTATCAGGCTAATAGTTATCACAGTTTGTCAGTAGCCAGGCTGTGCTTGAGACTATTGTTATTGTTAACTGTGCTATTTTAGACAGGATACCATACCTGCTACAATCAGTTTTTCTCTCCTGTATGACAACACTGTGATTGGACGGGATTATTACCACAACCATAATCCAGTAAAAAGCACTGGGTGCCGAGTCAAATAGGTAACAAATTTGCAAGCTCAACACATTGGGAAGGTAGGTCTTTGGGTAGACACAAAGACCAAGAATCACCTACATTTAGAAGATATCCCTGTGGAGCAGTCATTTCTTAGGGAACCCTCAAAACTAGGGATGAAGCTATTTATCACAGACCTGAAGAACAGTGGAACACATCGGAAGAAACAGCCACAACCACAAACACACTCAGATCCTTTGAAAAAGTGGCCAAACAAGCTCACTGCAAGAAAGGTAGCCTCTTTAATAAATGGTCAACTATGTTAGCTGGAAAAATTGGCTTGACACCTGCCAAAGACTAAAATAGAACCAAATCTGTCACCATGCACCAAACTCAAGTCAAAATGGATCATAGATCTCAATCTTAAAACAGAAACACTAAACGTACTGGAAGAGAAAGTAGGTAAAAATCTCGAAGACATAGGGGTAGGCAGAAAGGTCATGAACAAAAACCAAACCACATGAGAAATGCTTCAGAGAATCAACAACTGGGATCTCATTCTACCGAAAAGTTTTTGCACATCTAGAGAAATCACTGGCAGAGTAAAAAGAAAACCCACAAATTAGGGAAAAAATTTTAGCTGACTGTCCCTCAGACAAAGGGCTTCTATCTAGAACATATAAAGAATTAAAAAACTTCAGCCTTCCCCCTCTAATTCAAAAACCCAATCCAAAATTGGGCAGCTGAGATGAATACACACTTTTCAGATAAAGAAATACAAATGGCAAATAAATACATGAGAATATGTTCAACATCATTAGTCATTTGAGAAATGCAAATTAAAACAACACTGAGATTTCATCTCACCCCAGTAAGAATGGCTATCATTGAGAAATCAACCAATAACAAATGCTGCTGAGGTTGTGGAGAAATAGGAACCCTTCTCCACTGCTTGTGGGAATGCAGACTGGTGAAACTACTGTGGAAATCGGTTTGGAGATTCCTCAGTGAACTAGGTCTAGAGGTCCCATTCAACCCAGCTATCCCCCTTCTTGGTATTTTCCCAGGAGATCTGAAAACATCATATCAGCAGTATATGTTCACCCATGTTTATAACAGTGCAATTTTTAATTACTAAATCATGGAACCAACACAAATGTCCATCCACTGAGGAAGGGATAAAAAAATTGTGGTACTTTTATATAATGGAATATTAGTCAGCTATAAAGAAAGATAAACTCGACTCTTTTACAGGTAAATGGTCACATCTAGAGACCATACTCATAAGTGAAATAAATCAGACCTGCATGTGTAAGCAACATATTGTCTCACTAGTGTAAAAACCTGAAAGAGTGAATAAAAATGAGGAGGTGTGATAGACACTGTGAAATGTAAGGAAACTGCTCAAAAGTAATGAGCAGCTGGGATGAGGGAAAAGAGGAAAGAAGGAAGGGGAAATTATGTATATATGTATATACAGGATAGCTAACATAGTTGACTACTGACTTCTATTGCTTTTCTCAAAGGAACAGTTAATGATTACTTATTTGATCAATCTTGCATGTCTCTATTTGTTTTCCTGAGAAACCACTTTGAAGATATCAATATGCAATACAACGACCATTGTTAATCTCCTGTCACTTTGTCTGTAATTCAGTATTCCCTGTATTGTTCTTATGCTATTCTGTAAATGGATGTCTGTTAATATATTTTCATTCTTTTATTTTTAAAAACAATTAAAAAATAAAATAAAAAAGAAAGAAAATTGCTTGAATATTATTTAATTAATAATGGAATTTCAAAATTTGAATGAGCTTAAAGATCATCTTATAAATTCATCTTTGTCATGTTTGACTATCAGCAATGAGATATTTATAAAGTAGTTCAAACTCTGAGTAAACATTGCTAGCACTAATTTTAAAACTTTCAATACTTCCTTAGGTAATGTAGGATATCTTTAGAAATATCTTATTTTTAATCAGCTCTTTAGAGTTTAAGCAAAACCTTCCACTGCTCACCTTCTAATGATTGGAGAAGAGATTTAATATAAGCTCTTTTGAGTTTCAGAAGGAGCAAACAGAAGCATATGAGAGAAAGAAAGTTTCAGAATCAGTAGGAGACATAAATGCCAGATTTGGTAATCTCAGCAAATCTGTTAATATAAATCAATGAGATTTATATTAGCTACATTGTAATGAAACTGGAATATCAGCCAAAAGAATTTACTGTTAAAGAGAATTAGACTGAATTTCTTACTATGAAATGAAATCTAGAAGACCATGAAATAATATTTTCTTGGTTCTGAAAAGTAATATCTGTCAACGAAATATTAGTGCTCACTGAATAAACGTAAAGCATGAGAGAAAAACAAAGACGTATGTAGTTGAAAAAGCTGAGTTAGTTTTCTACTAATACATGATTTTGCAGTCTAGACTTCTATAAGAATAGGGGGAAAGTTAGAAAAACTGTGCTATGTATGGTGGCCACAGAAAGCCCACACCCCAGTGGCCTGCTGCAGAGTTCATGCTGTCCTCTGGATGACTCCATGTTTGCCTTGAGGCATTACTAGCCCAAGTTAATCCTTGTAAATGACCAAATGTGGCTCGGTTTCAGGACAGTCTATGCCTTTGACTTCTTGTGGTCAGGAAGCATTGTGTAAAGAAGGAAATGTCTTAAAACCTCAAAGAAGTCTAAGACCTTTCCTACCAGTTCCTTCTTTCTTTTCTCTATTATACTTTCCATTTTCTTAATGTTGCTTTGTCAGTATCTCTGTGAAAAATTTATGGTCAACACTTAGGAGAACAAATGATTGATAGTCCTTGTGAAGATAGGTGGCCTAGGAAGTTAGTTAAGGTCACTTAGTTGGGATTTCTTAGGGGAAAGATTCCCTGGGATGTGTCCATTATGCACTAGGGCATAGTAGAGGGTTAGAAACAGACCCAAAGAGTAGGAACTGGTGAAGGAGAAGGGAATGGACTATCTGTTTCCTTTAGAAACCAGATAATCTGTAGGTGGAGCAAGAAGGTCCATATACATGGTGAAGGCTTCACCCTTACTTCTGGAGCTTGCTTGCATGAGACAGATCCAACTAGTTTTACATTCATGCCTTCTTCAAACCTCTTAAGCTTTCTTTTCCTGGGAAGGGAGCACGACACCCTCTGATGGATAGTTTTGAGTAGAGGTGAAGGACATATGTCACTATCCTTTTTAATTTCCCCTGGTATCTAGCTGCTTAAAGGAAATTCATGGTCTGTGTTGTATTCTATATTATGTGTCTTTCAGGGAAAGCTCCCAACAAAAATCCTGGGAGTGAGACTTGCAGGATTTTGCCATTGCTTGCAACTGGGTAGGTAAGTCCATCTAATTCTGGGGTCCATTGGTGGGAATAAATTGTCTGCAAATATTCTCCAAGAATAGCTAGTTTCCAGAATCAACTTTATTAGTCATTAAGGGGATACGTCTATCTCTGTCTTTTTTTGGTCTTATTTCTTAATGAGTGTATAACTCAAACAGGAAGTCAGATAGTAGTAGTTAAGCTACTTTGAATGTCTAACACCTAGCACAGTGCTGGTGTACAATAGACAATAAAAATGGAATTCATAAAACATGAGTTTAAATCTGCAGTGATACTTGCATAAAATGAATTGAACAGTTTTACAACATTCAATAATTCAGATTTAATCTACATGAGCAAGAATTTATGTTTTGCAAGCAGAAGATTATTCCATTATTTTTATCTTTAATTATTCATAGAATTTTACTTTCTGAAATTCTCATTTAGCTAAGCCCCTTGGGAAAAAATGCTATGTTCATTTCCTGAAAATGCTTTGACTTTTACAGTAGAATAAAATCTGCAGTAAAAAAAACCACTTTTTTTTCCTAATTAGGCAATATCTGTAGAAAGAAAAGGAAAACTATAAAACTATCATAAAGTGCACTGTGGAGAATCTTGTTAACAATGTATCTCCTCAAGACTGCACTATTACAGTGTACACTCAGGCTTTGGTGTGTTAAAAGAAATTGCATGAAATTGTCCCTTTTCCATTACAGCACGCACATTTTCTTCAGTCTTATTTTTTTCATTACATTGCCACTAACATGGGGAACGTTCCTAACACCTCTATGGGTTTACACTGTATATTCCACTGTATCACACTTCTTTCTCTGTGCATTTGGCTTAGGAGTGTATTTACATGGCTGCTTGCATCCAGGTGAGATGTGATGGCTCATCTGCCTGTTTTGATTCCCTTCATGTTGGCAACTGATTATGAGTCCATAGTCTGCCTGTAAATACAATTGGCTATTCCTTTCATAGGGATTTAATTTCCTTTGTGTATCTCCTCTACAGTTCATTCCTTCTTCAAATCTTTGTTTTCCTCGATGAGAGAAAGCCTGATTTTCAAATGGAGCTTGAGTGTTTACTACTCACTTTGATGACTGTCTTGTGAAAATAGGCTTTGTTTTCCTTTCAGTTTTTGCTACTGTTTTCAGTTCAAGACAATGTTGTGTTTGCAGCTGATAAAAAATAACCTGTCTTTAATTCTCAGCACACTATAGTTAAACCCACTAATACTTGTAAAGCACTAGCGTGGTTATTTAGAGGGATTTCTTCATGTAGTTGAAATAATTATAAAGTACATTATTTCTAAGACATGGTAAATTAGTATTTCAAAGCAAAGAACGCATTTCAGATTGAGTTGGAAAATTGGGAGTAGTGGCTAAGGATTCCTCACATGGATTTAACTGTTGAGTGTGTATAGATTCAGCATAGTCTCTTGCATGCCAAATAGAGTCCATCAGAGCCGTTACAGTCTGTGTAGAGTCATGTCCAGTAATCAAAAGCTAAATTATACCTAGGTAGTGGTTGATTTTCAATTTTTAACTAGATATTCTGTATTTAAGGATTCTGCTCTACTTATTTATAATTAAAGTGAAGTTGGAAAACATCTCATTACAGACAAATATTTGTAGTGATTAAATATAAAATATTTCTGTAAGAATCTGTTAAGGTGAAATGTAGGGAAATTTTTGTAGTTCTCCATGAGATTCCACAGTTTTCACTTTTGGAAGCAATAGTAGGACAGACTATAGCAAATCTCTCAACAATTCCATTTCATAAATCACATTAATGAGACTGAAACAAATAAATACTTAGGAGCCAAGCAATTAGAAAATTTTAACATGCGTATCTAAAACTCAGGTTACTCATCACCAAGGGTAAGACACTTTATCATGCATTTATTTTGTGATTTTTTTTAAAAACCTTTATCCCTTAGATGAGAAAATAAATAAATGTATATTTATGAATTATGTGGATTTTATGTAATCCTTACAGAAATGTTCAAAACAAAATATTATTTCCCTCTTTTTAATGCTCCAGATTAAATGAAACAAGCCAAGGTCACACTTTATATGTCCCCATGTCCTCCATGTCTGCACAATCAAGACTGCTGCAGTAAGTCGTCAAGATCATTTTGGGGATAGAAACATATGGAATCTTAACTTCACGTAAATTATTCTTTTCATGTTGTCAAAAGCTAAACACAGAAACTGAGCTTATTCCGAATTCCAAATTTCAAAGAAATCTTTGGGAACTGAAAGCAATCTTGCCACTAAAATTGCTTTTTTTTATTCTTAAAAATGTGAGTTCAACAAAAAAGTTATTTAATAGCTTCATTTTTTTAAATGTACTTTATTAATTATACCCCCAAGTATTATATTTGTGGTTTTAGTCTTTAAACTGTGAATTATATTTTTAATCATTTAACAATCAAAATATCTTTCTCCTCATCTTCACAACATACCAGTTATATGGATATAGACACTCTTCATTTAATGATCAAACTCATTCTTGTGAGTAAGTAGTCAAGTGAATTGGTTGCTAAATGAGAAATTTTATACAGTATGTACATTACAATATCCACTACAAAGAAATGGTGAAAGGAAACTCTAACTTGATGACTTTGCTTTTATTTGCATAACTCTTACATGCAATACTATAATGTATAACAGAACATAAAGTCACAACGCTGTATCGTACAGCACAATCAGCAAAAACTGCAGTACTGTATAAAAAAGGTGTCCAGTACCTTGTCTTATCTTTCCTGTAGATCATAAGCCCAGTAGACCAATTTGCAAAGGAGTCAATTTGTACACACAAACGTCATAACACACACTAGGTCAATAATATGCTAAATACTCCTTCAAAATCTGTTTTGTTATCTCAGCATAACTTGAGTCAATTCTTTTTGCAACAAGTTAACACTATTTTCAGTAAGCAAATGAACAGAGAAAAATATCTTTCCTTCTTCAAGACCCAGATAGAAAATGGCAGAAATTCAGATTAAATGTTTCCACCAGCAGTATGCCCAGCAGGTGAGATAAGTTCTAAACCAAAGCATGAATGAGATGGTAGACAGAAAAAATAGAAACTGCAAAGCTTACAAAAATCAATAGAGTGTTATAGTCTATGTGAAAGGAAGCAGAAACTGCTTTTAGGCGAACTATTGGAAAACTGTGTCCGAGAACAAATTAGCCTTACTTTTAAGAGCTAAATGACTAGAGGTGTTCATTCAATACTTCTTTATATAGGTAAGGCCTAAGTTAGCAAAGTTTAGAGAGAATTAAGGCTGCTTCTACCATGCATTCATTATCCACTGCACCTTGTCTGAGATGTCCTTTCTTTGGCCTTCAGGCAATCTGTTTTGTTCCCTTCTTCCTAAAATGCAGGTCAGAAGGCGAATCCTTCAGAGTGCTTTCACAGTTTAATTACATTCAACTATCAGAATTTCTTGACTTCATGACCCTCTCTCTTCCTGTACATTAATATGCATTCATTTTGTATTTGTTGTTGGGCTATTATTATAATGATTTCTAGATACAGTAGCATAAAGGTAGGTATTAATTTTAGTAATTACATTGATACAGTAGCATAAAGGTAGTTATTAATTTTAGAAATTACATTGATAAATCAAGCCAACCAATACTTTCTCTTAAAATGTCCTGATGGTATTTTGGGTTGAACTAAGAGGATTACAATTTGAACTCTCCAATTTATTTGTTCTGTGTCTTTGTGACTATAGATTTAGAGACATAGATACATAGATACAGGTACAGACACAATGGGAAGGTAAAGGTAACTTGTTAAGGGGAATACAATTCATTTAAGCTTACTTTGTTTTTAATGTCATATCTATAATTGAAGGGATAACTGAAAACAGAAATGAGACAAAAATTTCTAGAAATGTTTAATGCATATAATTTGATTTCTTTTCTTTTCCTTTTAGAGACCAACATGACTTACCACTGAAATTATACTGCAAACAACTGAAATATATCTTTATATTACTATTTAGACCTGGTCAAGGGTGAGTATATAAACTTTGGTTCTAATTTACTGTGAAATAATTAATATTGTTTTTTACTAAGGAAAAATAAGTGATAAAAAAGGAACAAAATCTTTTCCACCAGTAATGTTTTGAAGTATGTAACCTGTCCTTTCTGGAGGTGTTTTCTACAAAATTTTCTGATATGGATTATTAATAAGCGATGTATATAAGAAATAATGCAACAGAAACACAAAATCAAAACCAAGGAAGATGGAGATGCACATGCCAGCCTTTATATTCAATATCATTTTAAACTTGTCTTTGAGCTGCTTTGAATGATTACAAATGGGGAAAACCTTGATTTGACAGAGAGGTCTCAAGTTTGGAAGAGAAATATGAAACGAAATTCTTAGGAAAATGAAAAGTTTTATTAGAATAACATTATTTTAAAAGTTATGTACACACTGGTAAAAATTATTTTGCAACTTTAACATAATTTCCATAATTTTCTTTTAACGCAGAAAAATAAAATACTTTAGCGCAAATTCACATATATATTTTATTAGCTTCCCATATAGAATAAAGTAGTTTTAAATATATATATCTTTATATCTATATGCATATATTTCAATAAACATGAGTTTGTGTGTGTCCATGTCTGTGTGTGTCTGTGTGTGTGTGTGTCATTTTTGTGATGATAACATTTACGCACAATGGCCAGAGAAAAACTTAAGAAAAAGATTTTCAAAGTAACAAACTGTTCTTCAGTGGGTTTTCACAGACATTTGAGACTTCTTCTTTAAATCTCAAGCACAGATCCTGGGTACTCTACTCCTTCAACACACAGATGGTTCAAGATTTCAATGCTTTGATTCATTAAAAGGGAGACTTTCCTAGTGGCTATAGCACTGGAAATATCATTTCCCTTAAAATAGAAAAGGAATTGCTTCTGGGAATCTGATCTCCTATTTTATTAAAACAAGTATCACAAAATTCTGCTACTGGTTTGCACTGAGTTATGTATGGATGGTAGAGTTGTCACGCTTCAAATGAAATCTGTCAGTGAATCCATCATGCTATCTGATTCTTTGTTCTGCTTAAAAAAATTAAAACAAAAATGACTCTGGGACAGTCTTAAAAAAAGCAGGTCCCTAAGAATATATAGTGTTGTCTCAGTTTATATTGAAGATACTCCATTTCTAAATACCAATTTTTAAAGTATTTTTTTTTTATAGTGGACCAAATGTACTGATTTTTGGGCTTACAACTAAAAGACAATGTCAACATATCTTTGCATGTGAAGACTTATGAGGCAATCATTTTTACAGCATTGTGTATAGCAACACAATTTAGAAAAATTGGAAATATTCAACAATTGTGGAATATTGGTTAAATAAATTTCAAAATTCACATAATGAGATGCTATATGTTTATTAATATTGTTTCATGTAAAAATCTCTAATGGCATGATACTCTATAATGCAAAGGAAGAAAACATTTTGTAATTTCTGATGTGACACCATTTGTGTGTGTGTGTGTCTTTTACAAAGATTTCAAAATTGGATTCACCAAAATGCTAATGTAGCTATTGCTGGTTGTTGGGATTTTGATTAACAATTACTTTCTTCATTGCCTTTTTGTGCAGATAACACATATATGTAGTTATTTTCTACTGACAATAAGAGGATTATTACTTTTTTAGTTTAAGGAGAAAATTGACTTTGGAAAATGCTGTATGTGGAATACTTGCTGAACACGTATATCATGTAAGAGAGCAAAGCTCCTTTGCTTGAGACAATGAGAAACATTTGATTTGCTTGCTCCTGGGAATGAGGAGAAAAGAACGTAAAGGAGATGAAGATAGGGCAGGGCAGGCTGAAGTCCTGATAATCTCACAAGACTGCACAGGACTGAATACTTCAGCATGAATCTCAGTGTGAGTTCTCAGAATTTAAAACAACTTAATTTGTTCAAATCTCCGATGAGCTTGTGCTTATGTTGGAATTGGTGCAGAGGTCAAGGTCCTGCATCTAGACTATCAGAGGATGAACCTGAACCACATATGAGAGAGTATAGGAAAGCTACTAGAACAGAAAAGTAAAGGGAAATATTTGGGAGAACTATAATTTCCCATATCCTAGAGTAAGTGCTTGAAGCCACTCTCTTCTCATCCCAAGATTGGAAGGGCCTCACCTGTCATGTGACTGCTTTTTGGGATCTTATGGTTGTTAATTTTGAGGGTCAATTTGACTGGATTGAGCAATGCCTCAATCAGAGACTTGGGAAATCATTATTGTGAGTGATTGTGGGTCTTTCCAAGAGAAGATTGGTGTGTGGGCAGCAAACTGAGTGGGGAACCGAAATGGACTGGAGCCTAAATGGACTGAAGAAGAAGAAGGGGAGGGGGAACCAATCCCCTGCTGCACCCTCCTGGAACAGGCACATGTTCTGCTGTGGCTATCCTTGGACATTAGACTCCAGAATATTCATGCTTTGGACTCTGGGATTTGCAGCCCCAGGGGCTCTTGGGCCTTCAGCTTCTGACTGCAGGTTGCATCACTGCCCATCCTTCCCTATTCTGAGGCTTCTGATTTCCCAAATTGAGCTGCTATGGCTTCACTTGCTTTCCAGTTTGCAGATAGTCATCATGGGAAGCTTTAGTCACTGTGATGGTCTGAGCTACTCTAGTAGATAGTCTCTTCTATAAATATATATTCTATTGGTTATGTTTCTCTGGAAAGCCCTGGACAATATTGAGCTCTTCCAGGAAATATGAGCTAAACTACATGTCCTCAATTTGTATCAGGTGAATTCTGCACACTTGCCCTGTAGACGTGCAGTGGTCATGTGACTCAAAACTGTTGAATTTAAGGGAATAGGGAATAACCCTGCATGGGTGATTGTGGTCTGGGAAATAAAGACTAAAAATAAGGGATATGTGGTAATAGATACGGCAGACAGAGGCAGGTCATTCTTAAGATTTTACAAGAGTAACAAAATCTATGAAGTTTGCCCATGAGGAAGCAGACAAAGACATATCATGCATCAGAACACACATAATTATTTCTTTTAAAAATGAGTTTGTCATTGATGAAGAGAGAGAATCTCTGGCTGATACATAAGACTCCAAAATTGTTCCTGATTGCTTAATGATAAAAATTAATTCTCTGGAAAATGGACAACTATCATGGTTTTGCTTACTGAGCATTCTTTAAGACAGAAACTAGAGATACTTATAAGTAGTCCTGTGCTAAAACCTGGGGAGAAAATTTTGAGTTGATATAACTTTTTATGTCCTTGAGCTTTGCATCTGTGGATTCAATCAACTTCAAATTAAAAATTACTTTAAAAATTGTGTTTTCATTAAACATGTACAGATTTTTTGTTGTCATTATTTCCTAAACACTGAAACAACTATTTACATAATATTTACATTGCATTAAGCTTTATTTGTAGTCTAGAGAAGATTTAAACTACATAAAAGATGTACATAGGGCTGGGCAAGTACAAGGTCGTGAGTTCGATTCCTGGTACCAAAAAACAAAACAAAACAAAACAAAAAGATTTACATAGATTATATACAAGTATGTCATTTTATATAAAGGATTTGAACATGTACAGATTCTGCTGTAGGGTATGGTCCTATACCCATGCTCCCCTGGATTGTGAGGGATGATTATATCACTAAAGTGTCAGAAGACCTTCAGGACTCAAAGATAGAAAAGCAAATGATGCTAGAAAACTTTCAGTGACTACCCTTCTAATTACATATGATTGGAAGTTTAGTAACACATCTGGCTTTTTCTGAGCAGAATGACTGACTGTACCACCAGCATAAATAATAAAAAGAGTTTCAGGGACTTCAATGTCTATACTCATTTTACAAGTAGGATAAAGGACCTATGTACCAAATGACATATGGACTCCATCTCAATATTAGTGAAACTACCCCAAGAGGCACGAAGAAGGAGGGCAACATTAACTTCACCAAGGAAAGTCTCAATAGAGTTGGGGCCGCTGACTTTATGCAGGCTTGGGCGATGAATGTCATGGGCACAACCTGCCTCCTGGAGTTAAAGATACAATGAATAGGGTAGTAGAAATGTGGAGATTTCCCCTCCAGTCAGACAAATAAGCTCTATGACTTCTGTCCACCAATTGTATTGTCATATGTGTAATGTTATAAAAGATGGGGCTCAGGAATAAAGGCACCACACACTGGCATTTAGCAGGCTGCTGCCTGTATGTGGCAAGTGCAGAGAAATCACATTTTACAGAGATTCTGGTCATAGAAGGATGAAATCCCTGTGGTGAGTGATCCCTAAATAACAAGCTTGGAAATGAGAAGAGAGGTGTGGGCAGGAGCTTGCATTCCTGAGACTCTCTTTGTGTGTGGGATTAAACATAGGGCTATGGGCTTTGTTTCATGAATAAAAGCATAGGGGAGATCAAAAGACTCTGAATGATAGTTTATTCAAGGTGTGTTTTTTTGTTTTTTAAAAAATCTTAAATTATAAATCTAAAAATACTCTTGTATGAGTCCAACACATATGTACCTTTCTCAGCCACCCTCCTGACCCAAAACACCCTTGTGTTTGGAGAGAAAAAGACAGCTTTTGATGGTCTTCAATGCAAAGGAAGACTACTGAGGCCAAGTAATTTCCCTCAAGAGGAAGATAGTAAACTACAGGGAAAAATCTGAAAACAGCATCCTTCTCAGAGGAGAGGTCTGCCCATCCCCAAATTAGAAGAAAGGAGGGAATCTGGGCCAAGTGAGTGAGACCTGTGTCACTGTGCTTATTTCTTTTACTCATCTAAGGTTCAAACAGGGAATTAATAAAATAAATTTGCAAGCAGCTATAACTGTTTTGCTCGTGGGAAAATGTAATGAGGGAGAAAATTGAGTTCTCATGGCTGGTAGGAAAAAGCAACTTAGGGAACAAGCTGCCTTTGTTTGGAAAATGCTTTGATTAGATCACTTGGGAAAATGAGTCTCTGTGGGGCATGGATGTGACCTGGTATTAGGACATCATAGATGGG